TTGCCATACTGATACAGGATTGCTTTCTTTATAAGCTTGGTTCACTTTAACAGGTGTAACAGTGGTATCGATTTTTTTTGTATAAAGTTTATTGCAATCTTGCTTTGCTCCATCCTGTAGCTTTAAAGTGACAATATTGAGCACTTTCTCAGGTTTATCTAATACCTCTGTTGATGGTAAATCAAGTATTTGTTCTGCTTCAATTAAAATTCTCAGGATCGTACTCTTGCCAACATTCTCCGGTCCGATAAGCATGATTCTAATGAAGTCATTCTTACACTTGCCCTTCATTAGAGCCTTTATGTATGCTTGTAGATACTCTTTTTCCGGTAATTTTCTAATATCGATACAGAAGCGAATAGCCTTAAGCAATTCACTTAACTCCTCTTTTAATTTAGCTGTAGATGCTCCTTGGCCTAGAAATTTGATATTATGATATTCTTTCATTTTCTTAAGTATATCCTGTCCTAATGCTATTAATGAATCTTTCCATCCATTAATATTTTCAATAATAACAGGAATTATCCATTTTTCTTTTTTAATGGCCCAACTGATTTCCTTAAGGCAATAATCTGATTTTATGTACTTCTCACTTATAAACGGTAGAAATACCTAAGTAAAAGAAGAAATAATAACAATAAAGATCCAAATCACTTGGCTGTTTTATGGCCAAAATCACATAACGATTTATTTATTCTGAATATATTGTATATTTATTCGTTCTAAGTGCGTTACGGTACATAAACAATGAATTACGGGATAGAAGCTGTTATTGTTTAATTAATTATAAATTTTAAACCTCCATCATACTAATGCAATAATACGTACAAGTGTCACGCACTACAGTAAGTTTATATTTTTGATAAGAAATGTGATAGTTGACTATCAAATAATTTAAGTTTCTATCTAATATTCTCCATTTCTAACATTGTGCGATATTTAATGATTAGTGTATGTGTATAATTAATTGTATATCTTACTATTATAATGCTTAGAACAGTATGATCAACGAATCGACTATAAAAGTTTATGATAAATAACATGTGTATGTTATTGAACCTGAGATAATTGTATATTTTCAGCCACAGCTGGTAGTACTTCCGTTCGTTCGCTGAACTGCTCGTCAATCTTCCAGCTGGAAATTCCTTCCTTTACCAGAAGATCATTTATGTAGACTACACGTTTCCGGTTATGCCAGTTATAGCTTATAAAAACATCTAAAAATAAATACTACCATTTTTTAATTGAAAACCATCATGCTAGCTAGAAATAAATAGTAGTCAGGTCCTTTGCACTACACTAGTTTTTATGTGAATTTCCTCATTCGTTTTACCTGGACTATTTGTTTGCATCCGATTTTGCTCGTTCTGCTTTTCCACTAAAAGCAAAGAAAGTTTAATTATAATATCCAAAACAGCAAGCATACTAAAATAGGAAATCCATCTTGTGCGTATATAACGTTTGAATAACATCTTACTACTTTACTATTAATTTTATTTAAATAATGATGATTACAGATGCTTTTATTTAAATTATCGAGCTGATATGATATATAGTTTAATGATAAGATAATAAACTGTAGTAAAAAATTAGCGATTACATCTTTTCCTAACAAAATAAGTGTTATCCGTGCCTTAATGAATGAATTTTTAAGCATTAGCTACATTTTTAATGACAAGTCCAGGAATAGAAATCGATTTATAAGATCATCTGACGTAAATTTTATTCTACAATAATTGTTATAGAGCGTTGTCTTAAATTCATTGCCTTGTGATTTATTCTCATGTATCATATTTTATCTGATTGAATAACTAGCTACAATTAGACACTTTTTTTAACTATGAAGATGACTAATTGTAAAGAATGACATGAAGATGAAAATCTTAATTTCAGGACCACACACGAAGAAATGATTTTAAACTAAATTTAACTAGACAATGAACTTTGAAGCAAGAATAAACATCAGCTATTTTGTAATATTAAAGTTAACTTGCTTGTAATGTGACAATCTAAGAATTAAAGAATTTATTGCTCTAAACTGAAACCATGTATATACAATGAAGGTTAACTTTTAGAATTTACCTTAAAGTTTTTTTATTATGATTATTCTAGCTTAGTTTTTTATCGTGATAAGTATTCTAGCTTTAAAAATATGACTTATTTAGTTGATTATAATAGTAGATTTTACTTAGTATCTTAGCATATTTTAAACCTGACTGCCTTATTCGCCTTAGAAGTTAAGATAGTCCGTAGCATAATTTTAGTTAAGAATCAGATATTATTATAATTTTATAATGCAAGTGATATATTTAATTAATAGAATATATGTTTGCTAATTTTGATCATTAATTACATTAAAAGTTAATGTTACTTTGTAATTTGATGCAGTATGAACCCCAAAAATTTAATCTGGGATTATTATTCTATCTTAGTATATACTGCAGAAATGTACAGTTTCAAGCTAAACTATACTTTGTTTTAATTTATTAGTTTTCGGGTGTCTCGAGTATAATTTATTTTATCATTTGTGTTTGATTGCTAGTTTAATTTGGAATACTTTAGAATGATAGTTGAATAGTCTAATACCGCCAACTGCTTTACGTATCATATAAAAGGTGGCGTAGTTCGGTAATTTAGTGCAGTTAAAGTTAGAGAAGACAAGAAGAGTCTAGAATAATCCTGAGTTACCTCATTAATTGATGTTTGGTTGGTTGGGGCAGTAGTACTGCCCCAACCTTTTGTTATTCATTTAAGATGTTTTGCTGAGATTCTTATTAAACTTATAATTAACTGGTGTTTTCCGCTAATTTTGTTTTGTTTGAACTTCAATTGTTTGTAGTTTAATTTAATTTATTAAAATAGGACAACCAACACTACTTATAGAATAATCGTAATTCGATGAAACAATGACACAAAGTACAACTACATCACAATAACCGAAATAAGTAATACTTTAAATAAAAATTGCTACAGCTTAATTATTACGATGGCTTGTCAGTCAGTTTGCAGGCTATGCCATTGGTTTGCCTAATTCTATACTCGTTTATCCTATTGTATACGAACATACACTCTGCGTATATGATAAATTGAAACAGAACTATTATATTATATGTTAGTAGCTTTGCTTAGTGGTTGCCCTACTCACTGATGAACTATTCACGTTGTTCGACCATAAAGTTAGAAACGATTCTTCACTAACCACCGAGTTAAGTATGTCTACTTTATTTACTTTTTCAATAAATCTTTTATTACTCGCATTATGTAGACTTTACTAAGGTCAACGAGTAGACAATTATCTATAATTTTCGAGACTATGGTGAAGTAACTTAAATGGGAAGCGTCTTACATTGTGATCACTAATAGACAAAATAGTAATCTATATAACTTTGGAAGGAGAGCAGTAAATGTAAAAGAAGATTTTTTGTGTGGTAAATGTGGTTTTGATACTATGTAAATCAGATAAAGTTTGACATTTATTGATTTATCACTAAATTAAGACACGACAATATCGATGATACCTGGAAGTTCATTAGTTTCTGTTTCAATAGCTGGTTGCTCGAATTTTGTGTTTAATGTCCAGGGCTGACGATGATCTGATCAATAAGATTTAAGTGTTTATTAATATTATCAGTTATTAATTAGACTTTTAACTCGTTATCATAGCCTTTCGTTCAAAAAATATTACACACTCTACATCCAGGGCTTACAGTATACTTGTATAATCTCGCAACATATATTCTTCGTAATTCAGCTGAAAATGTATAACTTTGTAACTGACATTAAATCAGATGTAACACTGGCTTAAGTTGTTAACAGATAGGACTACAATTGTACGTATCGTGATAGTGACTAAAACGATTATGATTGCACTATTCCAGAAACTAGCTAATGTCGTTAATTAATGGTTAGAATTGCTAATAAGTATAAATAGTAAAATAATCTAGGTATAAATTTTCTTTTAATGTATTACTTTGTGTAGAATTAGTTCTTGCTTATTTAAGCCGGAAGTTTACTAGTAACTGTAATATAGCACTATGATATTAATGCAACGTCACTCATAAATATGATTCAAAGACACCATATTAACTATCACACATCCAGCACTACAATTATTGACATTGCTATAGTAAATTAAACGATAGTCATGGTACTGTTCTAGAAGGTAGTTAGCACTCTCTT